ACCAGGTTTTCTGGGCGCAAAATGACCCTGGAAGTCGACGCGCCACCTAACCCCAATTTTCATCAAAGAACCAAGTTTCATTAGGTTGTTGGGGGTGTCCCAAGTACCAGGAAGTTCGGTTGGTGTCTCATGTTTTGCCATACTTCACCTGAGCTCCCGCTCACAGTTTCCATGAACCCCCTTCCCCCCTCCCCTCCCCCTACGCCGTCCGTGCTGGGTGTCGCCGTGCCCAGGAGCGCGCCTGACGCGTGTGTGTGGGTGTTGCAGCCGTGCTCTGGCTGCACGGACGGCCGTCTGCTCTCTGTGTCGGTGGACCAGCGCGTGTGCGTCTGGTCGGAGCGCGCCGGCCGGCTCCGGCTCGACTCCACCCGCCTGACGGCCGTGGCGGACGCCAAAGGCGCGCTGCTCTGGACCGAGGACGGGTCAGTGGGTCGGCGCCCTGCGCCCGTCGCTCCGACCGAGGACGGGTCAGTGGATCGGCGCCCTGCTCCCGTCGCTCCGACCGATGACGGGTCAGTGGGTCGGCGCCCTGCGCCCGTCGCTTCAACCGAGGACGGGTCAGTGGGTCGGCGCCCTGCGCACGTGGCTTCAACCGAGGACGGGTCAGTGGGTCGGTGTCCCGCCCCGTCGCTCCCTGCAGCCGTCGCTCAGCGACGCTGCCGGCGCCGCGGAGCAGGGTCTCCAGCGGTTTGGTCGCACTGCGCTACAAGCGACATTGACAATGACACGGTTTTGTGCAGCTGCTGTGCGTAGGAGCTGTGTAGAGGCGATGCCACCGTCCTAAAGCGTCTGGTGCGAAGTCTGATATTCCCGGGTTTTGCGGGCTACGGAGTGGCGTGGCATCCACAATATGGTATTTGCTGGTGAAGACGTTTTGTGCCTGCGGTTGATGGAAATCGGACATATCTGTTTCAGGACGGTCATGGTGCTGGTGTACGGCGAGGGTCTGGAGCTGCTGCGTCTTGAGGTCACTGAGCTCACCTGAGTGCCAGCCGGGCGGACGACTGATGCGCCTCGGACGCGGGTGTAACGTCAGAGGTCGGCTGGGTCCGATCGCCGCTCAGGACCGGCCGTAGCCGCGCTCGTCGCACCACGGATATGGTACTTTGTTGTGCTCGCCGAGCAGCGGGCTGACGCCACCACGTGCTAAGGACAATATGCGCACGCCGCGTGCATTTGCACAGACAAGGTGTCTTGCCACAAATCAGTTTTATATCAGAGATGCTATAGACTTTCAATGGCCGGACTTCGGTGCGACAGAGCTTGTGACGGCGAATGCAAACGTTGTTTGAATTGCGGACGGAACCCCCGCGCCGCGAGACGACGGCTGCTACCAAGGTAACTTTGTCAATGTGTTTGTATTTGTTGATTTGGCAGATATCGCCCCCCGTCTGGAACACCACTGACAAGTCATGTTATGTCTTATGCGCGGATTTTGTCTGTTGCGACACGCCGCGACGCCCGTCAGTTGACATGCTGACACCATGAAAGGCTACGTCAAGCGCCAGGATTGCAGCACTTGTGTGTATGGAGGAAGTTGCTGTCTCCGTACCAAGACTTGTAACTTCCGGTCGGCGTTTTGGCGGATTAATAAATTACAACCTGCGGAACACACTTCATTTAAAGGTCTGTGAGTCTGGGACCACATGTTTTGTTTACAGCGTCAAACCAGCCATTAAATATAGATTGTGTATATATATAGCCACCGTCGCTGGAACCTTTTTGCACGTTAAAACCGTCTACATTTTATTTTTTCATAAAGTTTTGACGTTTCATCCGTGACGTCACGATCACATAAGTCTGCGACCATGGCCATAGAGGTTGAATGTGTAACGGGAACTGGCGATCTGCCGTTAGGTCGGGAAGAATTTGGGAATACTAGTTATCTTGGATACACATCTTTGGTGGTGCGCACTCGCAGGGAAATGAAGATCTGTTTCGATCCAAAATGGACCAAGTCATCAGCGAAGACCCCTAACAAGTTATTTCGTGTGGCTGTCTATGGCCTAGGAGCTGGGCCCAGGCCGCAATGAGGATGGATGCCACACATCTGAACTTCCAGGAATGTGTGATGCTGCTGTGAAGACCACTTAAGTGGTTGTGCTTTGTCCGCACAGATCATGCGGGACTGTTGTCACACTGAGCTACTACATCGTGTCGTGTGTATCGGCACTTACCAGCATTCTGTTGAAACGCGTGAGATGTTTCACACGCGCATTATATTTTATAATAAAGAACGCCGGACACCACCGATGGACTGGATGAACCACACCAAAAGCAGGAAGTACACACTTGCTGCAGCGAACTGATCAGAACTATGCGTGCTTTTTTAGGCTATGCTACAGAAATACATAAGGAAGATGCCAATACGCACCACCGGCATCGCATTCCTCTGAGCGACGCAACAGTGCTCCAATAAGTCTCGCTGTAACAGTGTGGGGAGCGCAGTCGCACACCAAAACTTTTTCGCTCGATCCATGATGGGTCCGATGAAGCGAAGGTCGAATTCATCACAGACGACGCGGATCGCGGCGTTGATCTCAAACTGTGGGTTGTCAATACACACGAGCTTATAGGTGAAATCCGCGGCAATCATTTGCAGCTGCAGCTGCGCATACGCTTTGGCCGTCATTGCACCGCCGTCGTCCAAACTTCGGCCATCATTACACCGCCGTCGTCCAAACTTTGGTCGTCATTACACCGCCGTTGTCCAAACTTTGGCCATCATTACACCGCCGTCGTCCAAACTTTGGTCGTCATTACACAGCCGTCGTCCAAACTTTGGCCATCATTACACCGCCGTCGTCCAAAGTTTGGTCGTCATTACACCGCCGCCGTCTAAACTTTGGCCGTCATTGCACCACCGTCGTCCAAACTTTGGCCGTCACTACACCGCTGTCGTCCAGACTTTGGCCGTCATTACACCGCTGTCGTCCAGACTTCGGCCGTCATTGCACCGCTTTCGTCCAGACTTTGACCGTCATCGTCATTACACCACTGTCGTCCAGACTTTGGCCGTCCTTACACCGCTTTCGTCCAGATTTTGGCCGCCACCGTCATTACACCGCTGTCGTCCAGACTTTGGCCGTCCTTACACCGCTTTCGTCCAGACTTTGGCCGTCACCGTCATTACACCGCTGTCGTCCAGACTTCGGGGGTCATTACACGCTTTCGTCCAGACTTGGCCGTACTTACACCGCTTTCGTCCAGACTTGAAGTCACCGTCATTACACTGCTGTCGTCACCGTCATTACACTGCTGTCAGATGTTTGAAAGTTCTCCCGGCAGTGGAGCACTTCACCTAAATTACGGCCGGCACGCTATGCACCACGCACACTTCATTTGGGCTCACTGCAAGCGCAGGCGTGGCGGGCAAGGTGGGAGGACCCGTGGCCTTCATACTCACACCCAGCATGTCTTCCGGCTGCCTCGGCGCAAGTGGCTTCATGGTCACTCCTCTCACCATAGCCTTTGAGCCACCAAACGGCTTAAAACCTCACGTCGTCTCCACCAACGAGCCTTGTGCGGTTTCACATTGCGCAGCTTCACGCAGGCTGGACGCTGTAACTCACCCGAACCGCAGGTGGAGCCACGCTGGCGATTGGGCTTGCTTCTCGGCAGCTGCGCGCACCTCGGCTACCGTGGCACTCTATTTTCTCTGCTAAAAATGTGCTTACCTTAGGCGGATCAGTGCACCCACTGCACGGATGCCGCGCGCTCTTGCAACTCCGATGTCGCGGGAGTACGCATGGCAAACAGCCCCAGCTGAATGATGATGGGCCAGATTACGTATCTGCGCACGCAGCTGCCCCAGAAGATGGAGCCATGTGCATGTCCGGGCGCAGCCAGGATTTACGACGGGGGGATAAATTTCTACACGTTGTGCACTGGGAGACACCACAAACGTTGATAGGCACTACACCTAACGTACTAATGACCTATCGGTGTTGGTTCGCACTGGTTGTCCTAGAGCTGCGTACCGTACATACTGACTCGGCTATCCACTAACCTTGTCACTCAATAAGGAATTTTGGGCTGCACATGCCACTGCCCACGGTAGTCCATGATGTTTCAAGTTCAACTTGCTTTCCTGATCACCAGATTGTAGAATTATACCAGAAAGCGTGAAAAACTGCGGTCGAATTCGACTGGACAGAGGGGCTAAAGCTCCATAAGCAGTTCCACCTCAGCTGTGCCACTCCTTCAATCACCAAAGCTGGTAACATACTTCCGTGTATCTACCGTGCTTGACCCAATATATGATGCGCGCCGAGCTATGTAAAATACCCGCCGCCAAGCTCCCAGAGAACGGCTCGGTAACAGAGACTGGACCATACAGAACGACGATGTGCCATGTGTATTCTGAAAAATGCAGAAAAACGTAACAGCAATATTCCAAGCACAATCCACGACAAAAGATCATGAACAACTGCAATAACCGTCATCCCCTCCCGCAATGCGGCAAGTTGACATGCGCTTTCGATCACATTTCTGCACGGTCCGCACCATCCACAGCTGAGCAAGTCTGGGCCGACCCTCACGAGCGTGGCGCTCACGGAACGCCGACACTGCCTGCCGGCGCTCGGCCGGTCACAAGGCTGCCGGCGCTGGACCGGTCACGAGCCCGCCGGCGCTGGGCCGATCACGAGCCCGCCGACGCTAGACCGGTCACGCGGACGCCTCGCCACACGTGCTGGGCCGGTCACGAGGCTGCCGGCGCTGGGCTGGTCACGAGGCCGCCGGCGCTAGGCCGCTCGCGAGACCGCCGGCGCTGGGCCGGTCACGAGCCCGCCCGCGCTGGGCCGGTCACGAGGCCGCCGACGCTGGACCGGTCACGAGGCCGCCGACGCTGGGCCGCTCGCGAGACCGCCGGCGCTGGGCCGGTCACGAGCCCGCCTGCGCTGGGCCGGTCACGAGGCCGCCGACGCTGGACCGGTCACGAGGCCGCCGACGCTGGGCCGCTCGCGAGACCGCCGGCGCTGGGCCGGTCACGAGCCCGCCCGCGCTGGGCCGGTCACGAGGCCGCCGACGCTGGACCGGTCACGAAGCCGCCTCTCCGCTGGCGACGTGCGCGTCCAGGTCGTAGTTGGCGAAGCAGCGGAACTCGTTGGCCAGATTGTGGGTGTGGCCGGGGCGGAACTGGCATTCGTGCACGCCCAGCAGCCGCGAGGCCAGCTCGCCCATCTGGGCACCTGCGGCGCGGTGCGGACGCTCGCGTTAGACGTGTCGTCGGTGCGACGCCCCGCTGGGGAGGAGCGGGACCGGACACACCCGGGCGTTACCCGGCGAACACCAGACGCCGCCACATCGCCCCACCGCGCGCTGAGCGGCAAACAGACGTAGCTGTACGGTAAGCGGCGCCGAGACACGATGGTCAATGACGTGGACGGGTGGGGAAGCTATATTCGCATACGGAGCCGCAGTTGAGAGCTGGTGACGGCCTTACTATGGACGTAAGCCAGATGTGCCCTACATCGCAAACTGATCTCGCAGGCCCATTTTTTTTTTTTTTGCCAAAACCCGCCCCATCACGGAATACAGTGACGACATAAATCTGACTCCACGGGTTCAGACCCTCAAGCAGAGCGACCTGAGTTGGCGACAGTCTCTCGGCAGAGCGAGCGGCACCTGTGCACAGAAGGAGGTGGTGTTTGGCCAGTAGGCGGACGGTAACGGCCGTCTTGGTGAGGCATTCCTCCGAGAGGAACGGCGGGTCGGCCACCACCACGTCGAACTGCTCACGCAGCGCCGGTGGCACCTCCAGCGGCGCCCGGTAGTCGTAGAGGACGAAGTCGGACCCGAACACGCCGAACCGCTGGTCATACTCCAGCAGCGTCACTGCCGACCAAGGAGGCGTCCCCTAGTCTGAGAGCGGTGATCAGGTGCGGACGCAGCCATTCAACCCGTGGGCACAACCGGCACTGTCTGCACAGAACAAGCAGTCGCAACAGATCGAAGCATGAATCATCCTTGTCTGACTGGTCAGGAAGGCACATCCGGTCGGCAACACACTGGGATTGTCGTCCCCGCGCCGTGCGGGCACCATGAGACATGCACGTACAGCAAGACAGGCGCACCGCACAGGCGCACAAGGTGTCACTTCGCGGAGACAAGCCACGGCGCCAAACGAATCAGCGTGATCGGCACCGCGCTTTCCGACGTCACAAACAACCGCTCGCTGCCAGCTTCGCCCACCCCGTGCACTGTTTGCACCTCCCCTCCCAGCTGATGGCCGTGTGCGTACTCACGCTGTAGGCCGGCCGGCCGCACCTTGCGCAGATGCCGGTACAGGGTGGGACACGAGAGGCAGGCCACGCGGCCGGTGGGTCCCGCCAACCGCATCGCTTCCGCGCCCAGCACACGGCACGTGCGCTCGTCGTACCAGAATTGGCTCAGCTGCTGCAGTGGAACAAGGCATGGTGAGCCCCAGAGAGCACGGCCACGAAGTAGTCGACGAAGACGACTGCAGGCATAGTGGTGGTTCACTGTCTGCTGAAGTAACTGGCAGGTGAGGTGAACTTTGGCAGCAAGGCAGACAGACCTCACAGGTTGGTATGCCACAAGTTCCAGGGAGGAATTTTCTTCTGCCTCCATGATTGCCAGCAGATAAGCACTAGTTTCAGCCTACATGCTGGCATCAGTCTGTAACAGTCATAACTTGCACCCAGGTGGCCAACTGAATTCCCTCTGTTTGGGTGGGGGTCAATTTGACCCCATGAGATCTCAGAAACTAAGAGAGCTAGAGATGCTAAATTCACAGGGTGTATTGATCTGTACATGAACTCACTTGCATCAAAATTTGGGATTCCTAGGTCATGACCTTCAGCTCAAATGTGGTCAAACAACATCACACCCCTGATATTGGTGTCCAAAGTGCCCCAGAACCTACATACCTGTTTCAAGTAAAAAATTACTGGCACTCATTTAAGGCCAGTGACTTTCTTTGACCTTGCAGGGGTCATGGTGACCAAAATCATGCAATACTGCTTTGAATTTTGCATTTCAATGCACACCATAGATTATGCTTATCAACATGTTCTGAAAAAACAAAATGTTGACCTGGGCCATTTTTAGTCAGCCCTGACTTATCCTGACCTTTGAGAATATATGGGATATATCTTATGTGGTTTCTGTTATCAATAGACACAAAATGAGTTCCAGAAACTACTCCACACAGCAAGCTCTGAAGTAACAAAACAGGTTGATTTAGACCTTGGTCTGCCCTTCATAGTTGACCCTAGGTCAATGGACTTTGTACATTTAATTGTTGTGTGTCCTAAAAATATCTCTGAGATGTATGAGTTCATCTTACACTTTTACACTCCCTTGTTGCATCAGATTAATGTTTCCCTGGAAATCACCTATCATCAATCAATAAGAATCTATGACCTGACTTTGACCTGCCATTGTTCAATAACATATATATTCGCATACCAAATGATCCACCTTTCAATATTCTACAGCTATGCAAAAATTTGGTGCAGCTACTGCACCATTCAGAAACCATTCCCAAAAAAACCTTAAGGGATGTCAAACTGACCCCCTGGGAGAGTTGATAGTAATAGCAACTACATGGTAGCTAACAATAATCCACAGCTCCAAGCACCTTTTATTTGTCCTTTTGAAACAGCATTGGTACTTACCCAGTCCTCTTCAAAGTCATCATCAGCACCTGCATCCAATGTGCATCTCTCCACCTGTTGCCTCCTCTGCTCCCGTTCAAGCTGTTCTGACACAAACTCTTGCAATGCAGACATCGTGAATGCAGACAATTGCACATCCTCATCTGACTCAGTTTCCTTCTCTGCATCTATCACCTTCTTTATCTGCCCTGGTGTCTGGTCTGTAGTATCTGCTTTCAGCTGATTACCCACAGGCTCAGCACACATGTCTGACTCTGATTGCTTCTTCTCTGCTTCTGACATTGCATTCCTGCCTTGGAGCTGATTTCCTGGTTTTAAAGAAAAGCAGGCACATGTGATCAGAGTTTCCATGCACAATTGTAGTACCAGACAGCTGAACTGAGTGGCAATAAACATTGCTAATGGCTGCAAAAACGATCACAGGCAATGGTCTGCAATTGACTGCATTCAGAAACACCGCACTGCTACAAATCAATGCACAAGTTTCACTACTGACTCAGCAATTTGGTGAACCTGCCTGGAATGATCCAGAGGGTAGCCCAGGGACGTCAAGGGTTTTACTCGATGTTGGGGTCATATTCCACCTCATCATTTTACCCACCCAGAACAACTGAAAAGAGGGAAACAGCTCAGATTTTATCACGGTTCGTTGATGACTGACGTGATGCAAATCAGCACTTCACTTTTACAGAATCCACCACATAGGAACCACAGGGAGGAAACTTACGCGGCGCCCATCAGTGCGTGAGCCCTCGTCAGCGCGCAACGTGGTGCCCAAGATTTTCACGGCATATAATTGAATGCAATGCGTCATATTTGTAGACACATGGTGTATCCATATTAAAGGGGATTAGCGTCTTTCACCGCGATTTTCGAGGAAGGCCTCTGAGGCCAGGACTGCTCAGAATTCTCCCTGGGTCTTCCTGACTTCAGATAAGTAAACGGGACTTTCATGGGCGGGGGGGGGGGGGCGGGTAAAACGCCGATTACTCTCCGAGATCCTGCGAAATTGGATCAAAGTCCTGCTAAATTGCTAAATATATTGTTAACTGTGGACCCTTGGCTGATGGAGAGGGAGGCATGGCCATAGGCGGAGGAACGTTTCAAAAAGTGGGGGGATGGGCAAGTTCAAGGCGTGCTTCAGGAACTTTTTCTGGAATGCAAGTCCGGTGACCGAGGGGGGTTAGAGATGGAGGTTGTTGCCGTTTTTTATTCAAATGCCATGGCTGTTTTGCTAGATTTGCACCTGGAGCTGTTTCTCACTGGTGCATAATCTTGCTTGCTCAACTCGTCTACGTCGTTCGGCAAATGAGGCCGTCCAGCTTCCCAGAACTATTCGTCCATTTCAACACTGGCTTTTCTGGGGAGGCGAAATTCCACCCGCGGGTAGGCATTTTGGGACATTGAGGAGGCATCTGCCTCCACAGGGTAAATACCAAAATACAGCTTGGACATAGGTTGGTGAAAATTTTAAAAGCGAATCGATGGCTCACAGTGCGACAAATATTTTATGCGCCTTCATTTCGCTGGATGATTTTCAAAAGATGAGACTGATCGCAGCGTTTAAGACGGAAACAAAGTCGGAGCTTGAAACTGCCAAAAGCAGTGTGGCAGAAGTGAAGCAACTGGAAATTCTCATTTAAAAACCAAGCCACAGAATGAAGGCACTTCTGTCATATATTCTTTACTTGGGCCCTGCTACCGTCCGCCGTCGGCGGCAACTGCCCTGGGCCGGCTGTCTCCCGTATAACTGACCGCGAACTGATCGTATGGGTGCTTTGCTGCATATTTCTGGATCAACATTATTACTAATTGGTCTTTTACACACATGTAAGACACCTGCAACAGTATCTCTTTCCGAATTATTTTCCCTTACACCCCACCATTGCAGAAAACCCTACGGGAAGCTGCCTGCCGTAGGTATGAATTGGCCCAACGGACATTTTATTGCCCATCATTCAACGTAAATGACTTGACCTTCTTTTGCATGAAGGCAGCGGCGTGGCCAGAGCCTTGCCAAGGATTAACACGGTGCTGAAAAAAGCCCTTCCTATGGTGATCTCCCCCCTCTAAAAGATTCACGGATGTAGCTTACTTGTTAACAAGGGGTACGGTTTTCTTCCCATTATTGCCATTTTTACTTTGCAACCAGGAAAGAAAACAGAAACTACCGTGAGATCAATTCTGTTTGTATTTTCAAGTCAATAAACTGCAAAAATCAGGTGTTGAACAACCGCATGAAATACATCACCGGTGCCTTTAATTTACAATGGCTTTTTGAACTCCTAAAACGATAGAAGTCAGAAACTTAAAATTCGTATCTGGGTTCTACAAACACTAAGGCCATTGCGAAGGTACGTGATAGATCGTCAGTTAAATCGAAATTTAAAGATGAAAATTTGATTGTAGGTCGAATGGTCAACAATGTCTATTAACATGACCAAGCCATGTGTAGCTGCAAATGTTCAACATCCAGTCAGAATCGATTAGTGATAGGATTTATGTAACGTGGTTTTTTGCTCGCAAATCGTAGCAATAAAAACCTCTACTCCAGGCGTCGCAATCTCCATAGTCCATGGAGCTTTAGTCAGGTGGCTAACTTTTCAGCCGCTGCCCACCGGTGGACGAAAATGATGACACTTCTGAACTTATTACCTCAAGACACTTGCATCTATTAGGGATACAAGTTATGTGACATAATTTTGAGCATGCGCGCGCGCAAATCTCAACAAGAAAAACCTTGACGCCAGCCGTTGCAGTCTCCCGAGGCCGCACGGCGTCGGCGCAGCAGCCAATACTAAGCCGTGGCCAGCGGGTGTCCGAAAATGATGACGCTTCTGAAAGTAGCACCTTTGAACGCTTCAGGACATCAAATCTTACATTTACAATGCAGTCTGGGCGCGTATTTCATGTGCGCGATTTTCAGACTGATGACAACAACGGACTGGCCCTTAAAGCACCACAAAGTGATGCAGGAATCTGGTGGGGGAATTGGAAAAGTAAAACTTAGAATCTCTATTTTCCGTGTTTCTGTAAATATTTATCTGTCCAGGGGGCAGATTACCGCGGTGCCCGCTGTCTGGTGACACTTGCAGTGCCCGATATCGTTCGGTTTTATGGAAGCTGCAACCCAGGCCATCGCTGTCCTTGCACTCGAAGTTGGGGCGGGCATGTCCAACCATGCCGATGCAATTTGTTTTACTAATCCATTCTGAAAAATGAACGTTCTCATGCGTGCAAACGTGCGATGGCCTTGTTCGTTTCTTAAGCTCATTTCAACCCGCTATTCAGCAGTAATGAGGCTGCCACTCTACTCAACAGTATTGAGACCCCTTATCTCCTTCCAGCAAGAGCCCCTTGACTGCAACACCCGGGACACGTTAGCGTTTCAGGTCAAGGGCTGAAGGACCATTCCGTCCGATCGCAAAGTTTCTTTTGGCTGTCATTCTGGCGACACGACGCGGTATTTCCTGATCGATCTGGAGGCCACTGGAAGGACATACCGTAACAAATTCTTCCCTTCCCTGATACGGGAGGCCTTCTGACCCGCGCAGTTGGCCCTGGATCAGTACAGAAGCCCTCACTGACGCAACAACATCCGTGATCGCCGAAGGTGGTCCAATAATTGTCACATAGGCTCTAGTTCCATGTTTTGTTGTGTTCTTCGGGGATATTGAAGACTCCCTGAGCGTAGATTGTAGATGAAATGGGGTCCCAAATTTGTATTAGCCTAGCTAGTTCATGTTTGTCTTAAAATGTTTAAGATTCAGTCAGAACTGATAACTGATAAAAACTATATAACATGGTTTGAACATGCGCGCTCGCAAGACAGCAACAAGTCTCGATATCCGGCGTTGCAGTCTCCATAGCCCGCGCAGCGTCAGCCCTGCGGCTGTAACATTAAGTGGTGACTAATGAGCAACCGATGATGACGACAAAACGGCGCATCTTGAGGAAGATGGCTGGTGAACTAGGTAAATCGGCACATCTGTTAGATGTAGTACAAAAGTAAGCCAAACACAGCCTTAATCTGAAAAGTGTGTGGGAGGGGGGGGGGAGGGGGCAGTAACACTGCTGGCTCCCACCTTGAAAAGTGTGGGGGGGGGCATGGCCACCCTGCCCCCCCACCCTGTTCCTACGCCCATGCGCGTAGCCACCTTAGCCCCTTCCCCTCCTTGCCTACGTTCCTGATGGACTAACAGGCTTTCTGATTTGAGTATGATCGCTGGATAGCCCATTAGTGGATGACGCATCAGTGCGTTGTACACTTCCGATTATCTGAGCTCACGCACGGCACCAACCGATGCGACGCCCACGTGAACGGATGATCTGCGTGAGGGAACGAAACCTGATTTGGGATCAACACCGTTAAAAATAGGATTGCGACCCCGCTAGGGTCGGGGAGGGCAATACGTTCCTGGACAACCTTGCGACGCCGCTGCCGTAACTAGCGCCATCACGCTCCACACCTGAGCGACACCAGGTATGCCCAACATTACTTCCATACAAGCCAAGTGACCGTGCATTGGCAATGTCACATTGCCGGGCCTCAGACCAATGATGTACGAGCTGTTTGAGCCCACAACTCTAACGCGAGCCGTCATTGTGCGGTCTCATGCCGACGCAGGGCGCCTTTGACGCCGCGGGTGCCGGCCCGTCCCTATGACGGCAGCCAGTGGCCGCGTCCAGACGGAGCCCAGCCAGTCTGCCCACTCTCGGGCCGGCGGCGACGACCGAACCACGGCCAGGTCAGCGTGCTGTCCACGTACCCGCTCGCGGAGCCGGCCGGTGCCTGGGCAGACCCTGCTCGCCAGGGGTCCGTCTCATTCCTCCACCGGTGTGGTAACGACTGCCACCTGACCCCCACCAGCGATGCCGCATGGTGCTGATGCGGGATGAAGCTGGTCGAGAGTAAGCCATTTGATAACGGGTGCTCAAGCCACGTGTAGACTACCTTTTAATGTGCGGAATCAAAGCTGTTTGGGTGAAACATTAACGGACCATAATTGAAATCAGGTATCGGCGTTTACGTCATCACTGTCAGCGTTTTTATTTTCTTGGTATCACATCCTCCGTACCCAGCTCTCGGCCGGGCAGAGATAGAGCCGCGCACAACACAGCGAATACATAAGAGTGTATTCAACACACGTGAAAGAAGCATCCTGACGTCCGAGCGCAAGACAGTGACGGCCAGAGAGCCAGCGCTGCCAGTTGGGCCTCACGACTACCACCGGCTCCACTTGCTCGATGCGGAGGAATGGCTCAGGATGGGTGCGCGTCAGCCGGACATTCCAGTCTGACGTCACATGAAGACGCGGTAGGAACGAGGGGGGTCTGAAACGAGCACAACGGACTCTTGCACAACAGAGCATAATGCCTCCGGCGTCTGTGATTAAAGCAATGTGACGACATTAATACCTATTACGGGAAAAGGGGCGATACATTTCCGCCAAACGCAAATTTTATATTGGAGACCAGAGAAATGTGACAATAAATATGCAATGCAAGCGACAGCATACAAGATATGACATCACAGTTCATCACACAATTATCTTGCATCATTCACGCTCACACAGTATAAGCATGGTACATACATTTTACACGCTTCCACCCCGGACCGTATCAGAAAAGCATTATTTTTCACTAAAATGTGTACAGCGCAGGTACCGGACAAGCTGACTTAACACATTTCTGAAAAGCATGTACTTAAACTACTTGCAATGATCATATTAGCATTAATTGCCTATGGGCGCCGATACATGGAATCACCTTTAAGACATAAGCCGGAACAATACGAGGGTAGTGTGGCGCCGACAGCAGGGACATGACCTCAGCCAGCACACGTCTGTGTGGGGCTGGGCTCCCCGGGTCAGGGCCGAGGCGTACCTGGACTGCACTGGTCCGGCCACAGCTGCGTCGGAACAAGGGGGTAGACGGTGTACGGACGGTGTGACCGGGGCCACGTCCCGGAGTGACCTGGTCACACCGCTCAGGGGGGCGCGCTCGTCCTGCTCCCTGGCGGCAGTGGTACGGGCCGGCCCTGTCGCCGCACGGCAGCGATGCGGTCTGGCCGTCACCGCACAGCAGCGGTGCGGCCTGGCCGTCACCGCACGGCAGCGGTGCGGTCTGGCCCTGTCACCGCAGAGCAACAGTGAAGTCCACCCTGCTCTGTTGGGTAGCGACACAGAGCACGACCGACAGACTCTCCATGAAACGGCAGCGGCCGGACCTACTCCCTGTCGGGCGGCGGCGGTGCTGGCACCTGCAGCTGGGTGGGCCGGGGCCGCAGACAGGCCAGCAGTCGGTCGCCGGAGCCGCCGGTGATGAGCAGGGCACCGTACCCGGTCACCAGCGTCAGCACAACGGCCGGCACTACTGTCGCCGCGTACAGCTGGCTGGCGTTCAGCAACGTCTGCCCGGCACACAGCAACCGCGCAGCGTCACAGTCCGGCACACAGCGGCCCTACGGCGTCACGGTACAGCACACAGCGGCTCTGCGACGTCACGGTACGGCACACAGCGGCCCTACGGTGTCACGGTCCGGCACACAGCAGCCCTACGGCGTCAGAGCACGGCACACAGCGGCCGTGCGGCATCACAGGGCGGCACACAGCAGCCCTATGGCGTCACAGCATGGCACACAGCAGCCCTACGGCGTCACCGTACCACACAGCGGCCGTACGGCGCGACGGTCCGGCACACAGCAGTCGTACGGCGTCACGGCACGACATATAGCAGACTGGTGACATGACCAATGATGTGAATGAAGGTCAATGTTGATAAAAGCAAAATGCAGAGACTGCAAACCCATACAGCTGGTGGGAACAATTATAAACATATAAAAGGTGCAACAAACTTCAGTCTCAACCATATCAGATGCACCAAGAAACATAGTGTTAGAGAAAAATACCATGCAGGAAAGCCCACTAATGAAAACTGATATCAAACCATGCTCTAACCACCATGACATCAATCTTACCACAATTTCATCAATCTCACCACAATGGCAATAAGTTCCTCTCCTGGGTTGCAGTAAACCCCTAGCACCAGCAAAGCAAACATCACTGGCCACCACAAAAACTCAATCATTCCTGTGCATTACAGGAAACATCTGTTACCATCTCACCAGCGAAGAAAGGGCGAGATGAGAGACGAGCACGAACGCCAGCTGCAGGTACTGGCGACGGTCGAGCGCGCTGAAGGAGATGACGCCCCAGAAGGTGTGGAGCAGGATGAAGCAGAGGGTGAGCACGGCCGAGACGAGGAAAAAGAAGGACGAGTGGCCGCGCAGCCCCATTGTGCCTGGTCCGACAGCGTCCGCCAGCACGTTCACCAGCGAGAAGGCGCCCGACATCATGCCGAATCCAAGCCCACACACTGAAAATGCCAACCGAGGTGGTAAGCACGCGAAAAAGTGAAGTGGTCCACCATCTAGCAAGAGCTTTGGCCAGACTTGATGAAATCAGCCCACCCACCCTTTACATGGCTGGCCTGAAGATGACCGTCACCGTTTTTCATGTTAAAAGTGGGTGATGAGGAAGTGTACTTAGGCTCTGTGTGTTCTATTCCAAATGCAAGGTCTGTCTGCTAAAATTCCTCAACAACAGTACATATTTCCATCTTTAGGGCCAAATTCACAGAATTATTCAATATGATGGTCTCCCACCACTATCTTGTATCTGTTTCATCACATCATATAGCATTGTCCATAAAAAATAAATTTCCCACATGCCTGCTTGGGAAGCCTCATGCACTCTTCATGACCACCATTCCCAACATCTTAACTCACCATATGCCATGATGTGTGGATTGGTGACCACCTGGTCATTGTCTGTGACTTTCTTCAGACCATTTTCAGCCAAGCGCAGCAACTTGTAGAGCAGAAACCTGCAGATCATGAATGAGGTAAATGGATCAATGACAATGACAGCCATTTGAAGCAGTACAACCCACCCACAGTGCGGCTGCCATACACACATAGTCACCTGGCATCAAGGAATAGCATCACCCAGCACAATGACCGTGCTTTGACAATGTAAATCAAAATGCAGGCAACAGCATGGACAAGTAATAAAATTATGAGAGTGCTTTAATTCAAACACATTCTTATTGTTCACATACACAAATTAAGTGCACCCAAAGCCTGAAAGCCTCACATTGTTTAGCACTTTGACTTGCCTGAAGAGCTCCTGCAAGAGAACGGAGAAGACCATGCCAAATGCCAGGTCACTTCTGAGTGGCACAACCGCGAACCAGATGAGTGATGAGAAGAGTAGTGACAGCAGCCAGAAAAAGGCACTGTAAAGACACCAGGTCAACAAAGTTCAGCAGAATCTCATCATGTGCTAGAAATATTGCCATATCAGAACGTCTGTGCACACGGATATTATGTATAAATGGCAGCTCAGTAGCTTGCATTTATGCACTACCAACTGCTTTTGTAGCCACAAGCATGCTCCTGATCCACCTGAAGAACAGAAACATTCCTGCAATAATTAACTTGTAAAACACTGCAGCAGTTGAACAAGGCAGTTCCTGTAATAATTAATTTATAAAACACTGCCACAGTCACACCAGGCAGTCATATGCTGATCTTAATGCTGGGGTGGCACTGCCAGCTAGCTTAGTCTTATACCAACCTGGACATCAGAATGATAATTCTCACAGGATCCTTGGCAATGGTAATGATGAACATAGCCAGAGGTGGTCCAAATGCCAGAAGGCCACATCCAAAGAACTCCATCACAGTCATGACTTCAAATAGGCTTCCTGAAAGAGAAAGACAAGACAATGAGTAAACATTCATGCACTTTATGAATAGCTTGACATTCCTGTAAGCCTCATATGCATTTGCAGAATGGCAAGTGTCTAGGGAACAGCACATTTAGATGTGACACATCACTGATATTGTGAATAATTATTTCACAAAATAAGTTAGGGGGCTGAGTAGTGAAAAACAATGCAGCCTCCCAACAAAATGTGCCAAAAAACAAATTTCTCCTCAAATTTCACCTAACTTCTTTCAAAAATTCAGGGTCCAGAGCTCAACTCATGGGGCTGAAGCACACCAACTGAATAACCCCCACCCCCTGAAAAGTGAGCCACACCCTGACAAGGGCAGATCCACAACACTTCTCCTTTGAGGGATGAACTGTGACTCAAATGAGTCAAGGTCTAACAAGTCATCTTACTTTTTTACCAGCAATAAGGTTTTCCTTTCTCACCTACAGAAATGGCCTAAAACGTAATTTCCTTCAGTAAAGCTGCTTACATTTACTTTGCTACAAGATATGTATTCTTCCAACTTGGACCAACTAGGGAAACCATATGGTCAAGTTCCCTTGATGGCTCTGTTAGCCCTAGCCTCTCCCCCAAGGTCCAACCTCATTCCCAGGCAAGGAGGGTGAATGATCAGGCCAAGTAAGCCAAGGCATAAGATTTTCAAGCACCAAGGATGTGTGTACCTTAAAGTGTTTTACAGAAATGACTCCCCAATTATTAATTAATGACTTCCCTCTTCACTGCAGATTAAATTTCACATTCAGATAGGGGCTCCAGCTAACAAAGTTTGCTAGTTGATCAGATCCATGGGAAGCACACTTGTGTATCTTTAGCCAGGAGAAACTTTTTTCCTTACTCAGAAGCAGAACTGATTTTATAATACTTGAACAGTTTGTTGCACACCTACTCCAGGAGCTTGGCCATTCACCTCTTTGATAGAAGTACCAAAACAGTATTCCAAAAATCATCAAGCAGGTTGCGCAGGATGTAAATGCGAATTCATGGTACACAAATCCAGGCTCTTCAGCATTCCCCCCATGCAGTTGGGCTCTTATCCATTGCCCTTTAACCCTGACCCAGACATCTGACCTACTCTGACATTTGTCAAGTCTGACATCCCTAGACACTGGTTTGACAGCTGCTCAGTTCAATACTGACTGGCTGATTTTGAGCAAGGTGGGGGCCACAGGCAGTGAGCCCGAAAGCCAGGGTATTACAGCATGAACAAAGATAAACATCCCTGCCACCCAACTGGCCAAATATTAGAACACTGTATCCAGGGCATCATTACCTACTTTGTGAATGACTCTCTCAAGCCAAACTTTGAAAAAAATCATTACACAATACATGCTGTCTGCATGCCTATCAGCAATATTGTTTTCAACAAATCGTGCTGCTGCAAAGAAAAGTTCGGAAAATCCTACTGAGCACTTTGAGATGCACAATAAATTCAAAAATTCAGCGCAATTTGGCCTGGGCAGAATTCATTGCATGTAAGGGCGAGTTTTGCGGCCTGCGCTATCGACACCACCCAGCGCACCAGCGTTCTGAACGCGTCCGGCGCAGATGATGGATTTATCGCTGCTTGCAGTTCAGGGCCCATCCCAGCATGACAACCATTACGATACAAATCAGGGACATTAACTGATATAATCCACTACGCACCTCACAAGCCGCGTCGAATCCTCACCACCCCTCCTATTCCACGCAGGCTACCGCCCAGACAGCGTCACCGCAGCCGTAGTGCCATGGGTATTTCGCTAAATCAGGGCAAGCGCGATAAGGTAGCGTTTGTTTCCAAGTCGCTTGAAACTTTTCTTGACGAAATGTCAAAAACATCCTCGGGAATATTTAGTACGAAAGCTTCCTAACAGGGAAAGGTGTTTAGTACCGATTCGTACTAAAACCGGCGATGTTTAGTACACATATATACTAAACAATACAGCCCGGTAAACCAACGCTGAACAGAGGAAATAAGGCTAATTAGAGGTGAACATCATGACTCTCGTTTCGTTCGACGAGAGTGGGAAACCTTCACCACTTTGGGATCCCAATTCTCATTTAATTGCGAGTTGCTCCTGGGACGCAGCAGGGTCGGTCGGTCGGTGATCGGTGGGAGGCATGGGGAAGCGGTTAAGAAACATGCCTGGAGAAACTCTTGCACGTAGTTTACAGGACAATGTTATCTACAGGCTGAGTATGATATTGATGTATCCTGGACTACAGGGCCTGGGGAAAGATTGACATCCGGGCAGTGCGGAGAATAGGATACTAGTCTCGAGATGTAGCGGTTAGCACCAGACTTGGGTTTAACTCAAATGTCTTGAGTTAGCTCCGGACTGGCTGACGTATTGTGGAACCTGGTCCAGTTTGTAACTCAGCCCTCCCATTTTCCAGAGTACTACTGAAAGTACCCATAAGATTGTTCATGTTCAAAACGAGCCAATTCCATTACGCTGCGGGGCCCCCGCTTCACGAAACTAGATCACAGTGCATGTCTGGCACTGGTAATTATCTGGGACCGGCCACCCATCTCCAATATCATGATATCAACATGAAGCGCCCCTCTCGTCACAATGGGCCGAGCACATTGCAAGCAATAATGGGCATATTGGAGAGCCGGTTGTAAGCCTTCAGGCTTCGTTACGTATGTATAACACGAAAGAAACGTTTTCCCATAGTGCTACGTGAAAGTTAGTTTTTGACTGCAGCTCGGTCCATAACTGAACTATTTCAAACGTTTTAGAAAATTAGACTCTAGCGTCTCGCATATTTACGTATTAAGAGGAGGAGATCCGTTGACCAATAGCCTTCCCCTGCTAACTTAAATTAATCTTCAACACGCATTACGTATTTTATCTACGTATTAAGAAGAGTAGATCCGTTGACCAGGAGCCCTTCCCCTGCTAACTTAAATTAAGGTTCCAATCCTACGTTTCAACAGAAGCCTATATACGAAATGAACAGAGATAAGATATCATATCGGCTTGCTGATTCCGGTCCCCAAAACTTTGTATTCATAATGGATCGAACTAGTACTACTGGTTAATTTCATGACCATAGCTTAACCGGAATTGCCATGAAGGGGCATATTAAATTGAGGATGAATGTACCGCGTCGACTTTCCGAGCGAGAACAAATTCACCGCCGAGAAGGATAAAATCATCACCTTTGTGGTAACTCTCAAAATCAGATGCGGGCAAAACACAAAATTCGCGTACAATGGTCATCTGAAGCGTTTATTCTGAAAGATTATGATCCCGGTCGTTCCTGGACGTCTAGTCTGGAATGATGTGCCTTGTCTTGCACAATCTACCTCGAAAAAATGATTTGGAAATTAACCTATTGGTTAAGCAACATTCATGGTCCCAAAATTACTCTAAAATGGAATGAGGCGATCAGAGCCATATTTCTGGAAGTTGACTCATCATGTTACGTGCATGACATTGTGTGACAAAAGGTAAAGCACGATAATATACTCACATGCTTTGTTGTGGTAGATTTCACATTCTGACATTAGTCAGAACTGTTGAAGGCATTTTAAGCGTGTTTTATAGGTCCTTTGAATATCGAAAAGCAAATCATCCAACATTTCTAGTCATGCTTCTTACAAAAGATAGCGTTTTGTACTGTCCTTTGATTGAAACCACTTGCGTCATTCCATCTAATAAAAAGCCGAGTTAAGACGTTAATCATACCTTATCACTTGATATCAAAATATACCATGCAACGCGAAAAATGCGTTGATTTCCACTTACCGTCAATGATTTACCACAAAATTTTGACGGACTGCAAGAAGTCGGTTGTGAAAAGTAAGTGGCACGTCGACGGTTTAAGCTAGGTGGGGTTGCATTAGTAGGGTAGCACAAACAGGCCAATTTTTGACGTTCAGGTGCGAAAATGAAAAGCAGCGAGACTTGTGCCACATGGTAAGATTTCAAGAGGAAATTACTCTTTTCGTTTTCTTTTCTATGGTGTTGGAAGCTTTTAAAGTGTTTTTATAATGTTAGAAGTCAAAGTCATCGGCTCATTAGAGAAACACGTGCTCCAAATATTCCACCTGAAGTGTTTAGCATCTAAATAGGTCTACGGAACTCCGACATACAGTGCTTTTAGCCGTGCATTTGAGGAAAATGAAATGTCACGTGATGTAGAAAGCGACGAACAATGTCATACCAACTGCCATTATATTAAGCATAAACTTAAGGCAACACAAGCCAATTACATTTCCGGCGATCTCTGCACCTTCAGTTCGACATTACTATATGATGCGATATAACTTGTTGCTGTGTTTCCTAAGTAACATAGACATTGCTCGCATTTATCAGCTACCATGAACCTCAAGTGATTGTCTCGTTCCAAAACTGAGTTAACCAAGAAACAACATTAAGAGACTATACCAAAAAAGGCAAGCAGCTTTAAAAAGTTCCTTTGATTGCTACTTGTCGACACGCAGTTAGCACATATTTGGACGGGCTGCTCAGCACTGTTCGTTAATCGTTGTTTCATTTTCAACGTATTGATCCATAGGCTGAAAAATTTGGTCGTTGAGAAAAGTTGGAGAGTAAAGTTGAAGTTGCGTAAAAATTGGGAAGTTATAAAAAATGGCACAGTGATGACTTCAACTTGAAACAAAAGTATCACGCTTTTGTGTACATTAGGATAAATTATAGGTTACTACCGTCGTCACTGTTCTCTTACGACCCATTCAGCTGCTGAGACTACATGGCGTCACCAGCCTCTCACCCTGGCAAGAAGGGCGGGCGCCGCGGGGTCTCGAACGCCGTACCCCTGGTTTCTCGGACGCGCAGGAACTTACCAGTCGCGCTTACCACTGCACTTTCGGCACTCACAGGTAGCGCATACGGAATGAGGAACCTGCACCGACCTTTCCAGCCATTGTCAAATTTTTGCAATAGCTCCAAAATTCGGCTAGTCGCCACAGAAAACTAGGTTTCCAAAAGCAAAGCCAGTGTTAAGTCTATGAGACTACAAATGATAAAGTGATTTGTATTAGTGCGTTTCAGCAGCATAGTAGGTATTGGCACTGCCGTAAAATACAACCCAATACACGAACCTGGTAACATGATTTATAGAGCCCCGCAAATTTTCTTTAAACAACAGAAAAGTGTGATTTAACTTTTTGCCTTTGCTTGATGTGCTTTCTATGAAAGAACGCCACAACTTAACTTCAAATCTCCGTGATTATTATTCCTAGTTCATTGGCAATCAAAGAAGAGTCAACGAATGCCGAACGAAATTGATCAAGCCTTTCAAGCTGAGATGCAATGGAAATATGCTGAGATGAACTGGTACGTATATGAACACATAATGTGTTGATCTTCTCAAACGTTAGAGGGTCAAATGCATTATAAACACATAAGATGTGTTTATCTTCTCGCACGTTTGATAAACATCACATTGGATATTTAAGGTAGCAAAATTCACCAATCTTGAATGAGCCAATGCCCGCGTTTGCGCAAAATTTGTTGCGAATCGGTCCATAATTTATAGAAGAGTCGCATGTTAAGTCTTATCGCTTCGATTTGACAGGATCTGACCGAGCAACAAAGAAAACTTTAACCCCAATATCATTCCTACTGCATGCGTCTGGCAGGCATGCTGTTCATGGCGTTTGGCCAACACACGGGGGCTGACGCGATCGTTCCAGGCACGGCGCCCTGTGCAGTACCCCGCCTTGCGCAGCGAAGGGTTGGGGAGGCCTGTCGTAAGCGAGAAGATTATCACCCACCCTACCTGATCTGGCGAGGGGAGTCAGATGCTTTAAAACGCCGCTGGCCTAAATTCGACCAGGGCTGAGCCTCAAGCCTTAGCATGGGTCACCACGAGGAACTTCAAGCAGCTAGGATGGTTCCTTAACAGAAGACCATCTATCGCTCCGCTGTGACCGTGGCATCCATCGCTGGTTAACGTGTAAACGCATTATTGCTGGTGACACTATTAGCGCGCATTATTCTGCCCTTCTGCAAAAGAAGGCTGCTGGTACTGCGGTTGTTTCCATGCATCCCTAAAATGGGAGCTTTTACACGACCATCGCTTTTTGGAAAGGTGGCTTGTTCAGGGTTTTGAGCTGACATGTGTGGAATGTGTTCTGCTGGCAATACGGCTCCCGGGTACTTGAGCGACTATGCCTAAAATATGCCCTCGGCAGGTGGACCTAGTTACAAGAGGATCGCTGCCGAAAGCCATCGGTGGACAACGCGCGTGTTGACGGTGTTCGCGATTCTTGTATGCATTTCCATCAAATCAGAAGAAGGGCCCCTGATCCTCGCCCTGGTTCGCCGCTTTCCTAACACGGACTTATAGGCGGAGGATGCGACCTCACTCGCATTTCCAATTATAATTGGCGAAAAAACACCAGTGGTTTGGTCTCAACAAAATCTCGCGTTTTGGTGATAGTTTTTAAGCTGGTTTTTATAACTGAGCCCATTATGGCATGTCAAAGGTAGAACTTTCCAGAAAATCGCACCTTTCCATCTTTGCAGCATTATGTATACAATGAAGTTTTTTGCAGCGCCAAAAACCTTAACAGACGTGTATCTTGTTCCATTTTGAGTACATTGGTGTATTCGTTATGTGTTTTGAGCATACAGTTACGATATATCGCTATGTCAATGGGACACTGTCGTTCCGCCGCGTGCGTTCCACGGCATCATCGGTTGCTGACCGTCGTAAGCGTCCGCCGTAT